TATATATAGGCTTCGTGTATAATGATTGACATACTAATTTGATGCAAGAGCAACTCTGACCCGCCCAACAGCCTTAGTTCATCATAGGCTTGATATGCAGCCGATTATGTCTTAGAACGTAGTAGATTAGAAGGGGCACACTTGATTTCGGGAACCATATGATGCCATAATATTGTTGAACGGCCACTTAATATAGCTGTCCGTCTTCATGTATGCTGATATTTGCGGAAGTGCCTCGAACCGGGTGATAAAATCTGTTAGATTCGTCACATTTTTGAATACTGATGAATTCCAGACATACATTTGAAAAAGAAGTTCGTAAGCAAGAAAGTCAACGTAAGTTAACTTTTCATTTAGGAACCATTTCCTTTCGCCGAGAAATGCCGAAATCTCTTGAAGCATATGTGCAAAGCGATCGATAAATCCGCCATTGAGAACTCCAAGGCAGTCCGCCTTTGAGCATGTACCCTCCTGAAGTCGCTCGAAACTTGGACTGTAACACAATTTCATGAAGGCTGTGCGTAAGTCAGCAATCTGTTGTTCAACGAGCTCACAGTGAGCTAGCTCAATCTCGGTTGTGCCAATTAGATTAAACTTACGTCCCAAGTATCTCATAATAGCATGACTCTGACTTAGTTTGACACTGCCATCGACTAGATACGGTAAGTTGGGAAACGCAAGATTTAACTTGTTATTTGCCTTCTCTAGGGCCCATTCTGATTTATCGAAATCAGAAGCGGCAATAGTAGTGTAACGCCGTTCTTCAAAATCAGCGCCAGCGTAAGCTAGCAACAAACGGATTGGCTGGGCCAGACCTCGAATGTCCCAATAGCCCAGCAGAATCTTAGATTTCGATGACGACATAATGCGAAATTTTATTTCGCGATATGGCTTCTAACTTGTTCTCCGAACGAATAACAGCTTGATCTAACACCAAAATTATTCCGCTCACAAAAATAGATTTTTCTTTGTTTTTTTTTTTAAATGTGACTGTATAAACAACAGATGCAAAACAACGATGATGATCGTCAGCAGAAGACACAGCGGCCGAACAAGCGCCAAAAAAGAGGGGCCTCCGCGCATGCGTCACGGAACAAATTTTACCGAACGTTACGATCTGATTACGAGCGAAGGAACGATGCGGAACATACGAAGTATCTATAAAGGTAGCGACAAATCTAAATCTAAAGAGTGATGTTACCAAATTTACCGGGATCGTCCGTATATTTAAAAATATATATTGTTCTCCGTCACCTTATCATTATTATGCCCTCCAGCATCGCCATTTCATATATTGCACTAAATATTTATACAATAATTGAATTTTTAAGAAAGTTAGCCAACCCGTTATTGCCACGTTTAGTCGCTGCATTCTACAAAATGACATGAAAAGTTACGTAAAATGCTTTTCCCCGATGCTTGAACCCCATATAGCCGGCCTTTAACGTAACGTAGTGAAACCGGGTTAATGCGGAGCGGGCATGTTGTGTATATTTAGATAAAGCTCACAGACGTGATTGGCTTGCCCTATATGTAGCATTAAACCGTAAATAAGTAAACGACCAATATCGATATATTGGGCTGTAGAAAGGGCACTGGCCGTTTTTCCAGCTAGATGGCGTGCAAGTCACATACCTTGAATCGTGTCATCGCTTCATTTACAAATAGAAATTCAGCAGTAGAACTGTTCGAGGACATTTGTTCAGACTTAGGATAAAATGACTTGAAAATGAATGGAATTTTATTATACTTTACAATTTTACTACGATCAAGGTGCATATGTTGCCCAGGCTCATACAAAATATGTTCTGTTTATGGTCAAGATACGTTATCGGAGAGATGGCTCAAAAATGGCTTCATCGTCAATGGAACGATCTGGAACAATCGTTATGAAAGATGCTCCCCGCAACGATCGAACAATTACTTAATTAATTAATTAATTAGAACAATTAATTAATGTATAGGAAATTATTGCAGAAGCTAAGTATAGGAACTAGATGAAACAGTTTCAAATCATCAGGAAAAAATGTTGCAACAAGAAGTTTGATGATGTTAATTAAAGTAATTTACTGTATCGTATCTGCGAAACTCTACAAAAATGCAACGAAATCCAGCCTTCGATTACAGCCGATGAAAAATAGATCACATACACATGTCCCGTAAAATCTGTGGCGAAGCTCATACTGACACTGGGGTTCGGTGGGAATTGAAAGGCATCGTGCATTATAGACTGCTGCCGTCTGGAAAAATGATTCATTCATGCCTCTATTGTCAAACCACTGGCAAGATTGCTACAAGCCACCTTCCACTATAAAAGTGCCAGACCACAGAAACAGTTAGCTAGTCAGCTTGGATCGAGAACTTTAACATTTGCTGTTAAACTATTCTCTGCTTCGATATCTGCAAACATCCCGTAGTGGTGTTCATTTAGTTTCAATAGAAGTATGCGAAATGATTTTTTGTCCGAAAACCTCAAAAGGTATCCAGTGATGAAATTCACGTAACACTATAAAATTGGCAGAAGGTCATTCATCAAAATAGCGCGTATTAGTTTACCGATATTGTTTGAAAATATAGAAGTATTTGCTTCAAATTTTATTTATAAACGGCTAATGGTTCTCTGGGAATCCGATAAGGGCAAGCTGTTTTTGTGGACGTCGCTTATTATTTGCCACTTGTATTGGTGTTCTCAATCCTGTCGCACATGCCCTTATACGAATGGTCCACTAAAGGGATGCTTCATATAAATAGGCACTTTGCCCTCATACAATTCAGTCGAGGTATCGCAGGCCTAAACTAATGTTTAGCTTTTAAATTTAACGATGCTAGCCTGCCGTGAAACTGTTATTCGCTATACATAGAATTCTCGTTGAGTTTTCAAATTATCCTAAAATGCTTTATGTTGATATAATGGCATAATTATAGTAAATGGCTTTGACGGCACTATCGCTTCACCCATTCGTCATACTTATATGCCTTTTTCCAAAGCAAGGTAGCGGATGTCAATTCAAAATGTACAGTAAAGCTTCTCTCATTATAGCCTAAAGCGCTATAAACCTAATGGTTTATTGCATAAACAGGACATTGTACATAACAGTGGCTCGTACGCTTCGAATAGTCCTTTAACGGAGACAGTCATATAGGGGGGAGGGGGGAGACGCGATTACGTGAGCCAAAATTTATTAAACACTACGAAAGGATAAGATAAGTGCTTTGCCAAGGATTCCTCTATCTCGTTGCAAAACGGGAAACCAATAAATGGTTAGTCATTCCTATCAAATTGCTCTTTGAGCAACTTTCTATATCCTTCATTTTTACATTGACAACGTTCAAGTGGTTCCTGTTGTCAGGCGTCATTAACAACGAGCGCGTCATTGTGTTTACAGCGGTGACGTGCACAAAATGTAAATAACGGATGAGGCACACTCTGTAGGACTAATCTACGACCTAAATGGGCCTTATTCTCACTAGGGTGTCTGGAAAGATTTAGATTGTTGGCCCTCCAAGTAGTGGTATCCTTGCAAACCTGTCTTTGGCAAATACCAGCACGGACCAGCCTAGAATATGTTTCACGCCGTATATTTCTAATTTTCTGCGGTTCTAACCTTTAAAGTACTGTAGCGCTCTATAACAGATTTTCTGGATATAAAATAATCACATAGACGTACTATAAACTAAAGGGAACTTAAAAAGATGCGGGTGGCCAGACGCAGCGAGATCGAGTCAACGTCAAGTCTAGGATAACAGAATTGTGCTTTTAGTTATATCCAATTGAGCCTGCCTATCATAGTCACGCACTAGACATCTGCTGCGTACACGCCCGTAAGACCTACCATGGTTCTGCCTGCGGAACAAGAGCTACTAATGAAACGGATATAAATACAAATTGACTTAGATGACATCAGTCGCTATGACATGTATCCAAGCTGGCATTAATCAGTGAGTGAAACATTCGAGGTAGACCATCTTGATTACTATTTACTATTCAGTCGCTTTTTCCCACAAAGATGACAGTCCTATAACATGTTTCGCAAGCGTGTGGAGCGTTCGAGATTGCATGGATGAGGTTAGGTTCGATTGGCAATGAATTTTGACGATAGAGTGATGAGTAGCTTTTACAAAGAGGAGAAAAGGATTTTAACAGTCAGCAAATAATGGATTGTGGATTCCTACAGTTCCCTTGCAGTGTATCAAGCGTTTGCTTGAGACACTTTCATACATAGAGTTTCATGTAAGTGCCAGATTAGAATAGCATTAATAATTCAGCATGCATGATTCCTTCATAAACTCAAATAGACGACAAACTGTCTGTTCTTGCTAGATTCAAACCAATGATAAGGTTCAGCCATGCAATATAAAGAGCCGTACCAGCCGGATGCAGCTGTTATTATCTGTCCATGGATGATGAAGTTGATTTTGGCAGTAAGCCTATTATGTTACTGTTTATTGGAATTACTTTTGCTGATAGCATAGTAACAAGCAAACTAATCATGTAGTTCCTATGTAGCAATACTTTTTCTGGTCCATCTTGCTTTAGTGTGCTGTAACTGTGGTGGTATCCTCCGAAACTTGGGACATGCATGATTCCATGGCAGATCAAGCGTCTCCTTTATCTTAGAACCGCTAGGCAATAGCCTATGGTTTGTTAGCTCTCAATCAGTAATTTTTATGTACACACAAACGCATTATGAGTAAATGATCTGCGGACACGGTATAAAACACAAGTTCGAATAGACACCGTCTGGATCTGTTACAATATTAATATAAGACAAGCATTGTTTATGTTTTATATGTACTTATTATTGAATTATTTATGTTTGGGAGAAATAGATGAATAGAAGAAAAAAGCATGTGCCATGTTATTCGTATTGCGTAGAAAACTGTCCTCATTCTCACATATGTAAAACCTTCTTTTCCAGTTAAAATTTTTGGTCTGCCTAGTTGTTTTATTGTTTACTGTTTATGGATTAGCCCACCTTATATAACCTAGTACTGTTGTTGATCCCACTGAAGGATTAATTTAGCAATTTAAGAGAAAAGGCGAAAGCACGTATGTATTATAGAAAAGGAAAACAGGTTTTAAAGTTTGTTGTTTGCTTAAGAAGAATCGACTGTTATAGTTCTTGATCTAATTCAGCATATGAGTTCGGACATCAACACGACACGAAGTGTTTTTGCTTTCTGCTCTCTACATATGTATACTATTTATTTTTTTACATTTGAAAAGCCATTGGATCTGACAGATGTTTCATACTAATTCATAGCTGCGTTTTATTAAGTCATGCAGCTTCAATGCTCAAAGACTAACTTGTGGATTCCGGCTACTAGAAGATCTCGCTAAAGATGGACAACTTTTAACGTTTCGAACAAACAGGTTACGGATGCGTTTTGTGAGGTACAATTAGTTCGTTTGTGTTAGTAAGTAGTCTTTTTCGAACATATGTCCCCCCTTCATTTTGTGTTTTCGCGGTGCAACGGCACGGCCGCGAAGCCTATTTCACTTCTATGTATGGTAACCCTTCTGGCTGCTCTTTCTTTTACTGTAAGTTCCTCCAGCAAGTTCAGAAACTCTCCTAACCACTGGCAAAGCACCCCCACCTACCCCCGAGGTACTAGTCAATGTTTTATTCTCTGATCTTAGAAAAGCGTACAGCTGGCGGCAACCAAGTAAGTACGCAAACAGTGCAGCGAGAGCAACCCGAACGGATATCCCTGCGCATAGATATTTATGTTAGGTGGTACTGCGATAAAGGCAAGAGGATGAAGTTGAAGCAAGCAAAAGTAGATTGGTAGGAATTTAGAGAGGTGAATTTAACCTGGTCGGTCCGAATCCTTCGATATGCTTTTCGCTCTGGTTACCTTGCTGTTATAGAGGACTATTGCGCGCGAGACAGACGCACGCCTGCTTGTTCACTTGACTACGCTGTGCGTTGGCAAAGGCTGTTTCAGTCAAAGCACGTCGGATGATTGGAGTACCTCTCTGCG